AAAGGAAAGTCAAATCCCAAAAATTTCATTCAGCGCACTGAGTCACAAAGAAATCATGGTATTAAACATTTCGAGAGACAAGTACCGTAAAAAGTACAGATCCGACTATTGTTGCCAAAGCAACAACATATTCTGGGAAGGTAGCGCGCATGCTCCATGTGGTCTCAGATGAAGGACTTGCAGAATATGCAGAACACTGAAATTGAGATAATCTAATATTAGGAACTGAATGGAATGAGTGATATCAAAAATGAAATAAGGCCTGCATAGTTTTGACGTTGAGATTAGGAGATTGATTATCATAAAGTACCAGCCCCGTCCACTCTAAGTGGACCAGATGAAGCCACAACAGCATATTCATGTTCTAAATAATTTGTGAGAGGCAGGCCACAAAAAAATTATATAATCTAAATACACATTTTGAACAATAATATGTATAAACCAGAAACAAGTCAGCCTAGTCTTTATCAATTATTAACGTAAATTTTGAAAGATGGTTCAACACAAACACTGATTGGTGAACACCTTTAAAAAATGTATTAAATAGTAAAAGCTGTTACTGTGGCTCCATCTACACTGCTTATGTTAATCATTTGTCATGCTCTCCAAACTTAGGAGCCCAAGATTTCTCACAAAGTTCAATCAGCCATTGTACATTAACACCTATTTCACAATTATAATAAGCAAAACCAATAAAAATTAAAAAATAAATATGTTGGCTCACCTGGCGTGCACCATTTCCTATACATGGTTGACCACTAGAGAAATCCCATGAACTTGGAAATGAAGCTGTGCCCGAGGAGAGGTGTCTGACCGTGAAATCCACCTTTCCAACCAGTCCTAGTAGTGAAAAGGACGCATATAAAGTAGAGGGATAAGAAACACAAAACAGCTCAATTAAAAAAAACAATTTTTCTTAAAGTAAATTGAGAAGCAATCTTGGTTAATTTCCAGAAGCGATGTCAAAGAGAACTCTGCTTCCTAGTCCAAAAGAGCTAGAGCGGATAAAGGATTATTTAGGTCAAAATAAGCAAATACAGAGTGGACAATATACAGCAACATAAGCTCTGTAGTGCTCCAAACCGAACAATGCTATTTTGGGCAAGGGTTTATCATTAAATATGGGGAAAAAGCGGCTGATTTCTCAAAATTTAGTTCAATCAGTTCACCTAGAAATTATGTGCCCATTACATTGTCTTTGAGGACAACATTCTACGCTATCTTGCAAATTATATCCTTTCTTGTGAGTTCAATATATATACAATAGATCACAGTAAAAAAGCATTTTAATCTTTGATGGAAAAAAAGCTATTTAGAAGAAAAAAAAATCCACCACAACTAACCATATAAAATGCCAAGCACCAGGGCACAAACGATCGCAGTAGTTATCACCCACAATAATGCACTTTTAATCCTCTTGCCCACACTCCTGCACCAACAAAAATGATTAAAATCTCCTTATAGAATGCACCATTGCATAGCATTCGTGCTATTAAAAAATAGTATCAAAAGAAGAAACAAAGTAAAAAAGGAAAAAGAAACGGAAACCTTAGGCGATGTACTTACTTATCCTGGTCGCCTTCATAATAAAACATAGCGAAAGGAATAACGAAGAAAACCAAAATCGCATCAGCAATGTAGACTGCAAGCCAGAGATCCTTCATCGGTAGCGTGAGATTACACGCGCCATTATAAATAGCGTGGCGACATGCCTGCCGGTTAGCCACATCGGCAGGCAGCATGAGAATGGAGATGGCAGCAATGGAGAGGCCCAAAACGACAACAAATTTCGGGAAATAAGCCTGGTTGACGTCATCGGGATGCTGATAATTAATTAGCAGGTAAATGTTGAAGATGAACACCAAAACACAGACAACTATTGCCACAATCACCAGCGCCAAATTGAAATCTCCCATTCTTGCTGGTTGAGAGAGTCCTCTCTCTCTCTCCAATTCTTTTAATTGAATCAATACGATGCTGATTGATTCAAATTGAAACGGTAGGGTTTTTCTATATAAATTTCAGGGAACGCAAGTGGATCTGGTTCTTGATGAGATTTTTCTGTCTCTTTTTCCTTCTGTCTTTCTGTTCAAGAGAAAGAAGAAAAGGGGAAGGGCTTGGAAGAGAGGGGCCGGGTGGGAGGGGGGTGTTGGGGGAATGGTAGTGGTCCGGTGCCGGTTTGATTTGAGGAAATGGGGGTGAGTGGGTTCGACGAGGGAGTGAAATTACCAATTTGGACGCTAAGAATACGGTTATCAACTATCAAGAGGAATATCTGGTCAATCACGCGGTAGTCCTGGAGGTTGTAATGGGTAATAGGCTTTGTAACGGAGACAGCTTTTCGAGCAGCCTGGCCAACTGAGGCTTTTTGGTTCTCAACGAGTAGTATTTTATATGCTTGTAGGATTGCTCGTTGGCTCCGCTCGGGCGGTGAATCACCACCGGTCTAGTGTAGAGGGAGACTGACTGACTGAGGAGGTTAAAGGGCTTTTACTCTACATTGGGAGGGGACCGAAGGAGATCGAAGGAAACCCGATGAATTACTCAACATTAGGGGAAAGAAAATCTAAAGAGATCAAGGGAAATCCAATGAATCATCCCAATTCCACTGATAAAACATTTTAAAGAAAGTCTAGATATTAAAATGCAGACCAAGAGATCTGATCTCTCAACCCTTGTCTTTCATCACTTACTACTAATAGTGATTTCTCCAATTTAAACATGTTTGTAGTGCATACTCGTTTGGTTTGGTTCAATAGTGATTCATTTTCCATTGATTTTCCCCGGTCTAGTTGGGCCCTTTCTTACGTAGCTTCCACAAGTTTTTCTTGACCTAGTTGGGTTTTCCTTTAGATAGGTTGACGTAGTGTAAAAAAAATACTGATTGACAAATAAAAAAACTCATATCTTTTTTTTTTAAATCATATTCAATCATGTTCTTAATTCCTATTATTGGTTTGATTATTTAGTGCTATTTGGACAAAGCATGTCACTATTTATTTTCCACTCTAGTAAGTTGTTGAGTTAGTTGTATTTTCTCAAATAAAAATTTTATCTTTTTCCATGTGAAAAAAATTGTGTTTGCTTATATTTCTCGGTGGATTTTATTATTTATCTATTTTTATAACAATAAATTACAATCATTTCTTGCTCCTTATTTATAGTAAATTTCAAAAATCTATTAATTACATATTTTATATGCATTTTTATAATTGACGCCTTGATGTATTTTTTGTCAATTTTTTTCCTAGTTTAATTATCTATAATCACATTCTCTATCCTTATTATTGGATTGGTAATTTTTTACCATTACTAAAATTTGGAAAAACTTTTATTTTTTCCTATTATTCTATACTTTTCTTATTTATAGAAATTTATTAATTCGCTACTTTGTATATGGTTACATTGATTATTTGTTACTATTACTAAAATACAGACAAACTTTTATTTTTTTAATCATTCTATACTTCTTCATGTGTAGTAAAATTCAATTTATTAATTCCCTACTTTATATATGTTTACAATGATTATTTCTTTCTTGATTTTTTTTATCAATCAACGAACAATTTTTCTTTTATTAATTTTCTTTAATTACGCTCACTCTATCTATATTATTATACTTGATTATTTATTTGTAATTCTAAAGGTTTGAAAATTTGTATTATTTAATGAATATATATTACACAATTTTAGCATATTACTCGTACAAGTCCATTTAGATTAACAAAAATTAAATCATCCTAAAATTGTGTAACAAATACACCACACCGTGAGTCAAGTAACGTTGACTCTCGAGTTGCTAATGATTCGAGTAAACCTTAACAAAAGAAATTCAAAATTACTTCCTTACAATCATACACTTATCCAAACTTCCCTTCAAAACAAGCAGCGCTAAAATCTAGAACCTTAAAGATCACTATCACTTTGACAAGGAAGTTTGCACCATAAGTTATTGTGATTTCTTGACCATTTGGATATCTAATGGAATTGTTCCTTTTTTTTTTTTACTAATTAATTTCTTCATTTTCTATCATTATTTGCAGCACTTCTTACAATTAGCTTTACTCCAAGACCCAAAATAGAAATTATTTCATCTGCCACAATCCATCTTCTTCCACCATCTATTTTCTTTTCATCTGCATGTACACATGAAACAAAACAGATAGACTAATAAAACTAAATCTACTATATATTGGGGATACTCACAAATTATTGTTGGGTGAGTACTAGTCTTATTTTCTTTTTATATGGATTGTTACTTCAAATCTCTTCTCTTGACTTTTTTTTTTGGGATAAATATAAGTCATGAAGCGTAGCTTGTTTCTTTATATTAAGTGGCTTTTGTAATCAAGTGTTTGGAGATTGAAACTTTTGGTTAGGGAAACCATCGACTTACAAACTATCTTATTGCTTTTACAGTGGAGTAGGAAGACGATGGTGGTAGCATTAATGGTGGAGAACAAGTTGGAATCTATAATGGAAGGAAGAAAGGGATATGGAGGCTTAGAGACTATCATTCTTGTTTCTTTTACCATTTTTTCCTAAAGGCGATTTTTGTTTAATTTTTTATTTCTATTTCCTTTTCAATTTATTTAGTCTCTCTTTATTCCTGCCTTTTCCCTTCATATTATACTACATACGCGTATGTTTTGGGAAATTAATATTATGGTGTTTATAAATTTCTTAATTTATTGATTTTTTCCCCTTGGCTTTTTTTTTTTTTTTACAACAAAATGCTATATTATTTTGTTTAGTTTTTATTTTCAAATGTACAGAAGGCATCATTGTCATCTTATTAGATTAGATTAGATTTGTTGGTTGGGTGTTGACAAGATTAATGGTAGGGGGTAAATGTAATCTGGTCAAACTATGAGATTTGTTCCGTAATTTGGACAAACCTCAGGGGTGGAAAATGTAATTATTATTATTATTATTTATTTTTTTGGGCGTCCCCCAATTCTTACCAGTAGAAGGGAAGAGCAGATAGGAGGGCGGCCATTGGCCAACCTGTATAATTGGCGCCAAATATGTTGAACCTGATCCATTCTAATTGATCATACAATTCTGTCGGTCAACAATCGCGGTCTACCTAACCGTCGCTATATTCGGTTCATAACTAACAGTCGAGCTAAGCAGCTCTGGAGCTGACTGCTTGGTGAACTAAAGACCGAAAACGCCCACCCCGAGAAAAAATCAGTTACTCGTCTTTCTTTACATGGACTATTCCAAACCCAATGCCCAGTTTTTCGGTAAGTTTAAAATCGTAATTGGGGTTCCATATCTTCAAGCTTCAAATTTTAATTTCTCCGTATATTTATGCATATTTATAACTTTTTTCAGAATGGAAAACAATAATCAATCTCCGCCGACTACTTCGGCTGCTTCGAGCTCGCCGTCAACGGACTCAACCAGAAACGGAGAAGATTTTGGTGTTTCATCAACGTCGTCGACGAATTCGCAGGTGCAAGAGGAGGAGACAGCCGCTGCCGAAGAGGAAGCGGAGGGTAACGGACTAAGATATCCGGAGCTGATACAGCAGAGGACGAGCTTGTCCTATAACGCATATTCAATGGTAACGGAGAACGCACATGATGTTGTGGGACGGATGAGAGGCGACTCGTTGTCTTGCTTTGTCGTTATCCTCGCCTACTGGTTCTTCGGTATAAATTTCCTTCAACCTTTTGGGTTCAATTGTTTTGAATACCATTTGTGTTTTTGCTTTTTATTATTTGACATTCCGCCTTAGATTCATTTCCACTTTTGAAGGTTAGTTTATACTTTATATTAGTAATTGTAGTTTTGGGAAATGCTCTCTTGCAAAAAACTTTCCACTGAAGTTGCTGGTAATGATGCGCGTACGAATGGTTTACCATGAAAAGAACGTATTAATAAATTGAATATACGTGTCTGTTCTATCTGTTTTGCACACTTGTAGAAGTCCGTCTTGAATCTAAACAATAAACAGCACATGCAGCAATTATATTCTGTTGTCTACCTAAATGTCAACTACTGTTCCTTTTTAGTAATTTTTTTAGCTTTGGGAAGTTGTTGGAAAAACGTTACAGAAACCAACTTTTTTCTCCTTTCCTGTCCAGGAAAGTCTTCTTGATTTTGATTATGTTCTTTTCCAGTATCTATGACTATGATAATGGGAGTATATGGTCCTGCAAGTTTATTGCTCGGACCGTACTCTTCGATCCTGATAAAGCCTAATTCCTTTTTCGTGGAGTATGTAAAGGTACTTTCTTTTGCTTACTGTTCACTCTTCTCTAAAAATCCTTGTAGTGCCCCGCTTTAACCTAAATTGAGTTTATTAGATAGCGGAAATTCACGAGGCAGCTAATGGAGTTATGCTATATGGATTCCACAAAGACCCACCACTGGATGTTGTAACCTCCTGGTCTGAGACTCATAAAACCACTCTCTTCTCCCGCAATCACAAGGCAAGTTTGTTAGCTTTAATTTGCTGCCTGTTTTCATCTTTGTTAGTTCTGGTAGATTCAGTCAATTTCTTGGTGCAACAGGAATGGATATATTTCTTAAATGAAGGATCTCAAGTAAATGTTTCATACGATGTTAACTCTCCAAGCTCCTCTTCTTTAGTCTTTGTAATTGCCCAAGGTAAGTCTGTACTTCTCAAGAGAAGCTCTTTTGTAGGGTTTTTTCTCTTGTAATGCTCACTATTGACAGTTGTGTGTTTCTACAATTTTTTTAGTGGACTCTGAGATCAAATCTTGTGCTTTATGCTTGATCTAAAGTTGGATGTTAATCATGTTTGTGTTGATCCTTGACTTAGGCTTGTTGATCAAAACTTCTATCATCCTTATTTCTAATTGAGGGGGGGAATGCATCAACCATCTCAATGCTTGATGTTTCATTATTTTTTTCATTATTATGTTTGAATTGAATAGATATAGAGTGCTCAAATGTTAGTATTCACACAGTGCCACAAGCTTTTTTGTCAAATAGAATGCAAGTTCTATGATAATTAATCTGGTATTGCATGCAGTCTAACTATTTGCATTTAGTAACCTCAGTAAGCTTGTGGCTGCTGTAGATGTTTCTTGTGAAAGTTGAGCCAATGCAGGTAGTGAAGGTCTTAATCAGTGGCTTGAGGACCCATCATACCCGAATTCCACCTTATTATGGCAAATTATACGAGGTGAGGCAAAGCTGAGAAGCTTGTGTACATGGGTTTCAGTACTTAGTCTGTTATGGTGATAACCAACTTTTTATTTGTAGGCAGTGGCCTGATCCAGCAGGATATATTAACATCCTCTAATTACTATGTTGCAATTGGTAACTTGAATGCTGAAGCAGTGGAGGTAAGTCTAATGTTAGATTCTTATCTGTGTTGACATCGCTAATGAAGTGGCTTTGGACAATTTATAATTAGAAGTGAGTAGCCTGTGGAGGTGTGGCATGATAATTTGGAAGAGTGTGGTCTTTAGTTGGTCCTTCCAGGGAAAACAAAGCCATCTTAGTTTGCCTCTTTAATTGTTGTCTTCTTCTCTGAGGAACATAGAGAACAACCACTCACAGGAAATTGTGAAGCCCCAAATATTATATCACAAATTAGCTGGCATTAGTAAGAATCATAATCAGAAGTGCATCTACACCTGCTCGTTTCTTCTATCTCTTTCAGCCCTGGCCCATTGTTCTGGTTACCAATGTTCTATGTGCTTCAGTCCAGTTTATCATAGCTTTCTAGGTGTCTCGCGTTTTGTAATTCCTGCTTATGCTTGACTTTTCATGAACAGGTGCAGTTGAATATGAGATTAAAGACTTATCTATATAATACAACTGGGGCTTACTACCAGTGTGGTCTTACTGAAAGTGGATGTAGTTTTAAACTCTCGTTTACTGGTGGACATAATGCTCTTCTAACCTCTCCTGCTCCAACACCCGTAAGTATGTTACCTGTTTAGATGTCCCAGTACATACAAAACAATCATTTTCCATATTGCTGTATATATTCTGGTTTGATTGTTTTTCACTTCTAATGACAGCTTCTTCTTACACAGATTTTCACGTATAACAAGTATTTAGCAGCCACTACCTTGTAAAGAACCAAAATTTTTGTGTGAAACTCCAGTTTTAATACTCAATGAATCAAGACTGCCGGACAATTTAAGATACTTTATCCTCTAAATCTCCTTATACCATGCATCGAGTGTTATGTGCTCGAGTCACTGAGATGTTTGTTGGCTTAATATCAACAAGCGCAAATAGGCACCATGTTTTCTTATTGAAAGATCATACCATGTGCAATCTTGTGCAAGGCCAGCAAGTCTCCTATGGTATTCCTATCAGCTTCCAAATTAAGTGACATACAGGTTATTTTTCTTTTTCTTTAGGGTAGAGGAAATAACGAGTCCCATGTGAATCTCTCCTATGGGCCCAGATGGGTGACATATGTTGTGGGCATAGGTACCTTCTCCTTCCATTTCTTAAAGAGAGAACAGAATGACAATTGGCTTTCCCTGAAGTTCCTAATGCTGTAGCCATACAGGTGGAATGACAATTCTCATGTTAGTGGCCTTCCACTTCTTCATCCATCGCCGGTGCACAAATCAAGATGGAAGTAGAATTCGATCTGGAGAAACAGGATCTGCGAGGACCCCTCTGCTTGAAAACAAAGATGATGATATCTCGTGCTGGGGTTCCTCGTATGATTCTGTCTCACAAGATGATGTGGATGCTGAAGAGGGGCAGGCAGCGGGTTCACTTGAGGGTACATCAGCAAAAGATGGTGAATACAATAATAATATCCGACGTCTATGTGCAATATGCTTTGATGCTCCTAGGGACTGTTTCTTCCTTCCATGTGGGCATTGTGTGGCTTGTTTCGCATGTGGCACGAGGTCACTACTCTTCTATCTTCACTTCAGCATTAAATTTACTATTGGAGTTCTTTTTCCAAAATGTTTGAGCATAAAATGTCAGTGATACAGGTCAACGAATTTGTCTACCAAGTTGTAAACAGTTATCCTCTTTCTGTCCCCCAATATATAAAATGTAACTGGATAAGTAGATCTACTGAATTGGTCCAAGTAAATAAATGATTAAATACTTCTGGGTCTGGAAGTCATTCTAGGCATCTGATGAGAGGCTACATATGGGAATCCAAAACAAAGATTTGGGATTTCGTTTCCCTTTTTGGTTTATCAATTTTTTTTAAGCATGAAAATGGATGAGTTTAAGAAGCAGGGAATGAGAAGGAGGAATTGAACCTAGGGCCTCCCAATTTTGAAAGTCTCAACCTTAGCCACTAGACCAAGGGCGCCTAAGAAAATGAAAAGGAAATATTTGCTTTTTTTCTGTGGCTTGTTACCAAATCTTTTACAAAATGGACTGATATTTTCCTGATTCAAATTAGAATAATTGGCTGTGATAAATTTTGTGGTTTGCATCATTTGTTCACTGCTGCTCTTGTACTTGAGGAGGCAACAAGTGCAAGTTCAGACATCTCTTATAATCTCGAACTGCTTCCAAACATGCAGGATAGCAGAGGCTGCCGGTGCTTGTCCTATCTGTCGTAGAAATATGAAGAAAGTCAGGAAGATATTCACAGTTTGAGCAGCTAAGCAATCATGTCACATTTACGCTGCCTTCTGCACATATCACGATGTTGAACCAAATGCTATGTTCACCAAGAATTTGATAATTAACAGACTAGAAAATTTTGGATGACAAGGTAATTTTCTTATTCTGACGTGTGTCAACCATTTATAATTGTATTTCCATGAACCATTGGTGGTACGGATGCTCTAAAGAATTATTTACAGTCATTTTAGCCTACAAATATTAATGTTTGTGAATATGTATGTGAAGACAGTTTTTATTCTTCTTCAGTTTCCAATGACGCACGAGAGTGCTGGCCTCTTGACATACTCTTTGAACATGTTATAGTGGAGCTTGCTACAGCTTCACAGTCGTGTTCTTTCCCCTGCCTACACTGATTGAAATACACAGTCGAGAGTACTTTACGAGAACTACAGCTTCTTATACATTAAATTCCCGATTTAGAGCTTGCAAAGGGGAGAAAATTCTCTTGTGTCTTGTTAAACTTCTGTGATGCCTGGTCAAGTCTCAATTCTTCTATTACTATTTGTCAAAAACTTTATTTGCATGATTCATCAATGCATTTTTCAATCTCATATATATCAAAAAAGGGTGAATTTCTCAGAATATTGTTAAAATTAAAAAGCGTCATAAAATTGGTGCTGTCCGATGGAGGGCTCTTAATTAGGGGTTGCCGCAACTCCGATGTGCGGCTTCAAGTAAAAATAATTTTAATTTTAATTTATTTTGGGTTGCTTCAGTTTCTCTTTTTTTTTAAAAAAATTCCTTCAAACTATCGCCGCTCATTTGATTAGCGGCAAAGGCTCATGAGCGGCAGCTTTTTTTATATTTAAATTTTTTTTTGCATCGCCGCTCATGCAAAATCTTGTGGTATATATTTCATAGATGGAACAATTCCTATTCCTGTAAGGAAATGAGTTGTTCCAAATAATTGTTCCACAATGCAATCAGAGAAGGGGGAAATCTGGTGTACATATATATTCAAGACGGTTGAAGACGTGGTGCTTTTTCCATTCTGATTTATCATTTATGTTGTATCCTATTTGCCACCGGTCCATTTGGAGCATTAAAGGCTAAGGGGCCGATTTCCTTGCATGGGCCACCCTGTTACCAGGCTGTCCACAATGTGGGCATAGCAAGTTAGCAATGCCTGGTCCGGTGATCATCCACCTTTCAAAATGAGAACCTAACAAACTATTTCAGCAGCAGCCTATGGGTTGAGATTATTCGTTTTAGATGGTGAAAAGGGCAAAAAAAAAAAGAAAAAAAAAGAGGTCGCCCTAATCATTTCCATTAAGCTTTTAGGAACACTTATCAGTAGTGCTGCTTTAATTAAGCAGTACAACGTCATTGCGAGTCTTTAATTGGCGATTCAGCTGGTTCAACAACGACAGCCATCAAAAGGAGTGACGACAGATATTGTATCAATTACATCGACTCCTCCATGCTGGACAAAAATTCAAAACTGAAGGAGGACCTGTCTTGATATCGTTGAAAATAGGGCTGCCTCGAATCACATGTTTGGCCGCTCAAAGGTCGCGTCATGTTCCCATCGGTTTTGGTCCAGACTTTTTTTTTATTATTATTTCTGCAACGACAAACACCTATTCTACTCGTATACTAATCAAGACTATGAGAGAGGGGAGAGGCAAAAGGAAACGGAAATAGGTTTATTTGCGAAATTTCTTACATTCGTAAGAAACGGAAAAAGGAAAAAAACATTGCAGGGAGTTTCTGAGGTTGGTGGGGGTCTTTATCTCTTAGTAAAAGCCAGTCTTACAGGTTTTCCTGTGGGGTTTCTATCCCATATCGTTCCTTGGGGATTGGGTAGATAAGTTCTCAGGAGAACCTTAAAAGTTGATAGCTTTTGAGGTCAACCTCTGGAAATAAGTTTATTTGCGAAATTCCTTACATTCGTAAGAAACGGAAAAAGAGAGGGGAGAGGCAAAAGAAGCTTGTATGAGGGTTAAAAATAAACAACTAGGCCAAACAAGTACAGTGATGCAACTCTCTGAATTTTTTAAAAATAAGGAAGCATGCATCCTTGTGATGCACCTAGCTATCGGTTTTCGTCCCAACAACTCGAGAGCGATAAAGAATTGATAGCTGACGAGACAACAAAGCAAGGCAAAGCCTTTCAAGTTGGAACGTTCAACTGGAAATTGCTAGAGGGAGACTGCACTAGAAATAGTCATTGTCTCGTCCGAGTGACCAATGAGTGCGCTTGGATACTAGATTATTTGACATAATTTTTTTTAAAAAAATTGTAATATTTTTTAATGTGATATATGTGAAATAAAAAGTGAGTAATTAAATAAATTTGTAGAAATAATCCACTGTTGTTAACGGTCAATTTTATCCATCAATTCACTTGTAGACAAATTTGAGAGTTCAATCAGGCTTTTCGTAAATTCGAATCCTAATAATTTATGTGCACGTCAATTTAATGCTGATACTAATTTGAAGCCAATCAATTATACTCAAAAACCATAAAATGCGGCGCTGGCTTCCATTTATAAATTAGAATTCCTTGAGAAAGTTGTAGGAAATGCGATGCTAGTTTGGATTTGGTTCCTTTCCAATGAATTCTCTATCTATTTTTCATAGCACATATCTCAATACATTACACGTATTTTCGTTTACTACGAACAGACATGATCATTTTAAATTCGACTAATTCTAACCCTTCAGACATGATTATTTTTTAAATTTTATTAATTATAACCCTTGTTAATAAATGAACGCATATAAGAAATGGAGATAAAATCCACTCGAGAGGAGTCAAGCCTGCGCTAGTCCATGCATCAGGTGATAACTCATAACATTAAGCATCTTTGCTAGCAAGCACGCAGTAACTCATTTTCACAACAACCAATTTGCTGGGGGTGACCCACTTGCCGTCAAGTGAAAAACACACACAAAGATTTAAAAAAAAAAAAAAAAAGCCAAATCATGATTTAACGAATAATTCCGTCCACACTGTGGAGGATGACTTTATTTGTCACACCTTGTTGTGTTTCACGTTGCAACTAACTAAAAGTTAGCGTTTTCCTAATCCTTCTGGGAGAACCCTGTAGTACGTACTTTGTCTTTTTTTTTTTCTTTTCTAGCTAATTCGATCGCTCTCCACTTGTTTGTTCCATTGATTTTATATAGCGGACGTTAAGTACAGCTGCTAGCTAGTCCGGCAATAGTTGTAGGAATGTGGAGGTGCGGTTGTGGAGTCGGAAGAACTTAAACTGTGTTGTAAAGGCTTCAGATTCCCTAATTCGCGGTCCCATGCCAAAATGAGAACATCTGCTGCCAGATGTTTAGCACTTAAAATGTATAACCATCCGCAAATCCAGGGGTTGATATAAATTAACTAACTCGGACTTGTCTTAAAAAAAAAAAATAATAATAATAATAATTCAGATTTTGACCTAGGATTTACTTATCAGGCCTTACATAATCCTTGCCTTGGTCAATGCTGCTTCCCATACTTCCACCCTACATGTGGTATTGATGATGGTGTCGAGTATTATTATTTAATTAGCCTCACCAGTTTCAGCGCTCCACTTCAGGATGAGACTCTGAGAGAGAGAGAGAGAGAGCTCAGTTAGCTATGCTCGTATAAATAGTCAAAAAGATACCATTAATCACATACATACGCCTTCAGGTTCAGGTTTTCTCGATCGCGCAATCATTTGGAAGGAAGTTACCGCGCGAGACCATCTAGGAAGAGATGTCAAAGCAAGCTTACAAGGTATGTTGCTGCTTCCGAAGGAGATTCAAGTTCAGAGAAGCTGAAGCGCCTGATGAGATCAAAGCTTTGTTTGGGAGGTACTCAGAAAATGGTCTGATGACGGTTGATCACCTGCACAAGTTCTTGAAGGAGGTCCAGGGTGAAGAGACGGTCACCATGGAAGAAGCAGAATCTGCAATGGAATCCATCATCAAAGACCTCAAACATCTCCACGTCTTCCACCGCAAAGTTCTCAACCTGGAAGCCTTCTTTCGGTACCTCTTCGGTGATGCTAATTACCCTCTCATCTCCTCCAATAAGGTCAGTATATACCATGAATGACTTCCTTGCTACCTATACCACCTTCTGCTCTGTGTAGTAGCTCATCAGGAAAATGATCGTTGTAGTTTTACGTGCTGCATATATATCTGCTTGCTGTAGCTGTTTTGTTCTCTACAATTATAATCACGAAATGAAATCTAACGTATCCATTAATTATCTGCTACGCACTGTAATCGGCCTGCAGAAACCCATTAGCTGATATAATGATATAATGAATCATGAGGAGCGTTTGGTTGGATGGTAACGTGGGAAAGCTGTAAATAAGACCTTCCACTTACTAAGAAGAAAGAAAAAAAAGAATCGGAGCGAGTCAGGCTGAGCAGTGTCTCCTTTCCGCTATTGACTGACGGATTCCAGGACCTGTCAAAAGTAGAATTCCAATCTCCTTGCAGAGGCATTGAACATCAACTCCTAAGAAGGCTTGTTGAAACTAATCAAGCTGCCTATGAGGGGCGAATCACAATTGTGGCAAATTGGTGGGAGGCAAAGTTTGAACCTTGCCTCCCACCCCACCCCACCAAACCACCAAAGCCTTAAAGGCTTGGTGGTGGCCATCAGCCTAAGCTGATGGTTGTATTTTGGTTGGTTACTTAATTTCGCTTTTTCCAGAATGCAATTGGACCATTGCCCCCTATTGCTTGCAGATTGGATTAAGCATGTGAGTTAAAAAAAAAAAGAAAAAAGAAGCTTGAGTCATACGCGTAGGATTTTCCATAAAGTAGTATTCAAGAACACTCAACCGACAAGAGGATTCACAACGTTAATTAGTTAAATTAGAAAAAGAAAACAATGTGGGATCAACAACGATTGTTCTGAAACTTGGTTACTTTATAGATTTATTATAAGTCTCTTATAACTTTATATATATATATTTTTTTGAATATTGTCTCATATAATAACTTTACTACATCACTGTCCACCGACAATTGTTTTGAGAAAACAAAGGGTAAAAAATAAAAAAATCCTCTGTGGTAAATCTATTATACAGAAAAACATCCTGCGGTTTTAAAACGTACAACACGACATCTCATGTTTTGAATTAAATTGTAAATATGACGGAATCCATTAAATTTAACGGAAATGACTTATTGGAACTTAAAAAAATTTTATACTTAATTTTTAACAAATATGCTTGTTCTACCCCTTAATTCTCAATTTTCTTTCTCTATAGAATAAACAAATGATTTTATTGAGTTGTCTTTTGCTTAATTATATCAGGTCATTTTTGTCATTTCGTCCATTTCCGTTAAGTATAACGAATTCCGTCACATTCACAATTTAGTTCAAAGTATGAGGTCTCGTGTTGTACGTTTTGAAACTACGGAAGATTTTTCCGTATATTAGATTTACCACATGGACTTTTTTGTTTTTTACCCAAAAACAATTAACCATTGGTTCAGACGCATATGCTATAGTTCCTCCATAATTTTGTTTTATGGTGTCTGCAGTTTTTGGATAATTTGTTGGACAATTGGACCCATTGCAGTAGGATCACTCTGTTACACGAATTCTAGGCCCATAATTTTTAGTTTCTGCATACATTATGTGGACCAACCCAAAAAAAAATGAAAAAGAAGGCTTTGCGGCGCTCTATGTTCCTCCTCCTAGGCCGATATTCGGCTCTAGATCAATTTTACCAAAAATTCTAGCCCTGATTTGTTTTACAGACCATCGTTTTTTCCTATTGCTTGAATCAAAAAGAAAAAATTAACAAAAAAAAAAAAAACTATTCACTTGAATCAAAAAGAAAAAGAAAAAAACTATTGCAAATTTTGTTACGATTTAAAACATTAAAAAAAAAAAAAAACTGTTGGTATCGTAACTGGCCGAGTCCAACTGACCGTACCAAATGATCTATCTATGATCTAGCTCTCCTCATTCTTCAGCCGTTCTTAACAATTTGGCAAATGCAAATTTCTTACTATTACTCAACGCTCTGAGAATGCGAATTCGAATGTCGATTCCAGCATCAGGTCACACAATCGTACGAAAGACAGAGCATGAATTCGTAATTCGAAGATGTCCTCTGAAATCTGAAAAGAAGCTACGGTCCATTTTGTATTCAACCCATCTGCATGCATTTTTCTTTTTCGATAGTCCTTGCCTTGGTATCCATTAATAAAGAGCTACTACAACAAAACTCTTGCTCTTATATGATGAGAGCTTATTATTCAGAGTCTGCAAGAAAATGATTTCTTTGTTTTTACTCCCTTTCACCCCAGGTGCACCATGACATGACTGCTCCGCTGTCGCATTATTTCGTGTATACGAGTCACAATTCCTACCTGACGGGAAACCAAATCAGTAGCGATTGCAGTGATGTCCCGATTATAAAAGCACTGGAGAAAGGCGTAAGAGTTATTGAGTTAGATATGTGGCCGAATTCCACTAAAGACAATGTGGATATCTATCATGGGAGGTATGAACCACTGCGAACTTCTCTTGCTTGTCAGAACTATCTAACAGTGGCAATGAAGCTAGTCAAGATCCTCTGCAACATTTAAAGCTGATTCGATTCACCCTTAAATCCAGTTCTATCCTCATGAACGATTTTCCTTTAATTGCTCTCGCTTTCATGGGAGTGCTTGTTCAAGGAGTTCTAATTATGTTACGTTACCGCAAATGTTTGCAATATGCAGGACGCTAACAACACCAGTGGATCTTATCAAGTGTTTAAGTTCGATAAGGAAGCATGCTTTTGTTGCGTCTGAGTTTCCAGTAATTTTAACTCTAGAGGACCATCTCACTCCAGATCTTCAAGCTAAAGTAGCAGAGGTGGGTACAAGTCTTCCCCCTAATTACTTGGTTGATGCTCTCGTGTTTTGGTCTTTTTGTAACCAATTTTAGGTTCAATTGTAGATGGTCACCCACACATTTGGAGATGTACTCTTCTCCTCGGGGTCCGAGTGCTCCTCGGAATTCCCCTCTCCAGAGTCCCTGAAGAGAAAAATTATCATTTCAACGAAGCCCCCAAAGGAGTATCTTGAAACTAAGAGCATAAAGGAGAGAGATGATCACTCTCGCAAGGCAAAAAATTTGTCAGAAGAAGCAGCCTGGGGAAAGGAAGTCTCAGATATTGCAGATCACTTAAAAATCCGCAATGAGGTAGATCAGATATTAATTATCTTGCATTACCTTAAACATCCATGCGGCAAAATCTCGTTCTTTTGGTACACCAAAAAATTATCAGTTGCTGGTCTGGGAACATTCAATGTTTTTAGCTGCAGAACGAACCAGATGATGGAGAATTTCAAGATGAGGAAGATGCTCATGAAGATATTCAAGAGCTCCAGCAAAATGCAGCACCAAAGTACAAGAATCTAATTGCAATCCATGCACGAAAGAGAAAAGGTGGGATCAAAGACTGGCTGAAGATAGATCCTAACAATGTTACACGTATCAGCTTGAGTGAAGAAAAGTTTGAAAAAGCCGTATTATCTCATGGAGGAGATATTGTCAGGTATGGAATTTGTTACTCTAGGATGTGACTATGTTTTGGTGTTCCGGGCTGAGAAGTGAGAATACCATTAGACCAGCATTGTAACTACTCATCACAAAAATTTTTGTAAACCATTTTAACCTTCTCATGGTTCAGCTTCTAATGTTAGAAAGCTTTTTTATTCTTAAAGTAATCATAAGTATGAAAATAAAGTTGAACTTGGCAAAAATGTATACGATGTACTGATTTTTGAGCTTGTTATGCTGACAAGTTTACTTATGAATTCCGCCATCAAGTTCATTCGTGTTCTGTAGTTACGAAATGCCATCTCAATACTGCGGGATATAAAATTAGCCACACAAAGATCATGTACATTTGACTGGTTAACTTTGTCACAATACGCATAGCATCTGGTGCAGAGGAGATAGGGATTCATGTATGACAAAAGCATTTGATTTGGTGATTGCTTTCCTATAGGTTCACTCAGAGAAACTTGCTGAGAATATTTCCAAAAGCTATGCGGCTTGACTCCTCAAATTACAATCCCCTAATCGGTTGGACACATGGAGCTCAAATGGTCGCACTCAATATGCAGGTTCCTTGACAATTTTTGTTATCACTTAACAGTTTAGATATTCAGTTATTTGGGTGGTCCATCCATGCCTCTAGGCAGAAACACGACCTCATCCTTGGCATGATTTTTTATGCACCCAAAGCAAATCGTATCTTGTGAGGCTAGTGACTGAAAACATACGTATTTCTGGGTTTCAGTCAAATAAGCCTTCGTTCTTCTTTGGAGGTGGGAGTTTGTAGATACAGGATATAACTTCGTGTGGAAAGGTTCGAGATGTAACACCCGAAACAAATTGAAGGAACAGTGTGCACTGCAGTGTGAACTCTTTTAGTTGTTACAGGACTCGGACATATGTGCACTGCCATAAATTCTTGTGTATGTTTTCCGTTTTCCAACTACCAAATTGTATCTATGCCAGGGATATGGCAGGTACCTTTGGCTGATGCAAGGATTGTTCAGAGCAAATGGTGGGTGTGGCTATGTGAAAAAACCAGATATTCTACTGCAGATTGGTCCGCACAATGAGGTATTTGATCCTAAAAGGGCTTTGCCTGTGAAGAAGACTTTAAAGGTACATGTCTGCCATAAGTGGTCTCAAGCTATATCTCATGATTTGTAAGCTTTACTAAGATTCACATTGGTTATATATCAGGTTAAAGTTTATATGGGTGATGGATGGAATTTGGACTTCCATCACACACATTTCGACATGTATTCTCCGCCTGACTTTTATGTGAAGGTAACCAGACCCTGGTTTTTAGCAAAAAATTCCTCTTATCATTTGACCATAATTCTTCCCCAGATACTTGAAAATACAAATGACTGTATTCATGCTGCTTTTTGATGACCGGCAAAAAACTAACAACAAAGAAAAATTCATGTCCCCACCTGCCCAAAAAAATAAAATGTTCATGTCCCATGCTAAGTGCTTTGGTGCTACCGCATTCTCCATTTGTAGGTTGGAATTGCTGGAGTTTCTGATGATTCAGCTGTTAAGAAGACCAAGATAGTGGAAGACAACTGGGTTCCGACATGGGAAGAAGAGTTTGAGTTCCAGTTGAGGGTTCCAGAACTTGCATTGCTCCGGATTGAAGTTCACGAGTATGATATGTCAGAGAAGGATGATTTTGGAGGCCAAACCTGTCTTCCTGTTTCAGAGTTGAGAGAAGGAATCCGTGGTGTACCTCTTTACAATCAGAAGGGAGAAAAATACAAATCCGTGAAATTGCTCATGCGCTTTGATTTTCTGTGAAATCAAACATTTGAAAAAATTTCCTTCAGAAGCCACTTATAATTAAGCTGAATAAGGGGGACCTGATCCTCGGTGCAGGCACTGTATATAGGGATTTGTATCTCTTTTTTGCAGTGAACTTTGGTTCACATCTATTAATTCATAAGAAAGCTGCCTTTCCACCTTCTGATACCCCATACTCTCGATCATGTAAAAAATTAGTCTTGTTCATGTGCAAATCATCTATTGGTTGCTCCACTCTGTACTAACCAATTGGTAAAACCCCGAGCTTATTCCATTTAAGCTCCAGTCATGGAGTAATTGACAAAGGAAGGTTAAAGGGACTGCAGTTTGAGCTACAATGTCATCACTCAATGAGCCAAAAAAAATATATATATAGAATTACAGACAAGGATTTGAAGCCTGTTGGATTAACTTTCTTTTCCCACAGCTTGTAATAGAATAAGTAATTTAAGAAAGTAGTACGAGACACCCCCTATCGTAGCAAATTGCAGCTTCTCAGTTCCTTCAACTGCCGAGAAATCATTATCTGCGGCACGACTAAATCCCCCCGCCAACCATGCCAAGTTCTTGTATCCTTCTCCATGTAATCTTGAAGCGGCCATCATAGACCTGATGGTGCAAATTTGAATCAGTACTCGGTAATATGTCAATTTCGCTTTTCCTATTACGAATATATATATACTGTATATATTTCACATCCACAATGAATAATGATGGCCTTAATTTCCAGCTAGTTTTACTCTATATTTCACATCCACAACGAAAATGCTACTTATTACCTTAGACCTTCTCCACATGCTAAGATAATCTTGGCATCCTTATCAGGAAGTTCTCTCTCCACTTGCTTGACAAAGTCGGGATTAATCATGGTCAAGTCTTGGCCGGTCCAGAGTCCGATGTAGCCAAAATGTACCCACTTCTTGAGGAGAGTTATAGGGCTGTTGTCCATGTCCTTGACAAACAACGGCACATGAACTGACCCTGCAACGCGTGCCTTCTGTCTCTCCCACTCCGGCCTAACGTCCAGCAATGCATAGCCTTCCGACTCTATGACCGCGGCAGCATCTTTTGGCAATATGGGACGCACTTCGCCTGACTGTATCAGCTGCAGAGCCTTCCCGGAAACTGCATTCACTCTAATTCTTTTCAAACGTCGAGAGTTGGTGAAGACATTCCCAGTTCTCTTATCTTGAGCCAGAGCAGTTTTACTCGTTTTGGAATTTCTGGAAGTCTATCCTGAATGATTAATTGGTCCCCATTTCCCTCGCGAGGATGGACCTGGAGGCTGGAGCCCGCCCTCAAGTCCTACATATTTTGTTTTTCTCCCTTGCCGTTTTCACTTATGAAGTCTATATATATGTAAAGCATATATTTTTCAACTGCTTCGTTTTGGATTTATGAACATTTACCGTCAAAAGTCATAGATTTCTAATTTAAACTTGAGCTCTAGAGGACTTAATTAAGATACAAAACCAGTCATTTAAACGCAAACTTTCACAATCATTCCCACTTTTTGTATTCGATTTGGTCACTTTCTGGAATTTAATTTTGATTTTTGTATTAAATTTGTATTTGGACCCTAATTAACAAGTCGACAGGGCACTCACTAACAAAATATTATAAAATGAGAGTTTAAATGTCTAAGAATTTCAAAAAGTTGCGGATTAAAAATTGAAAAATTGTGATGTTTTGCTTGTTCTTAAAATATGTGTTGTTAGGGGAAATAATGTGGTTGTGTTAACAACAAATAAACATGAATTAAAACAATTTACAAACGACAATAAAAGCTTACCTCCTTTTGTCATTTAAATGGTTATGATTTGAGGTTGGCGATAACTGATTATTCTAATAAGTGCCTAGCACGAGGTTTTAGTTGTTATTTATTTATTTATTTATTTATTTTTGGTAAGTATATGATTAAAGCCAAAAGGTTTATGAAAATATAGGAGATAGTAAATGTAAGTGTGTATATTTAAAATATTATCTTTATGTATTAAATTAAAAGGTCACTAGAAGGCATTTACAAAAATCCTTTGGAAATTTAGGGTGGGGTAAAGAGTGGATCATAACAAAATTGATGATGATATAAACATTTATAGATAAAAACTAACTCGAGCATTTATCTTTTTTATTAGTTTGGATTATAGTTAGTAAAATATAAAAATGGTAAAATACGAGTGTTATACATACGCAAAATACTTTTTAGAAGTATGATTAAAAATTTGGGGTAAAAATACATCTTCAACAAAATTGTATATATAAAAATTCGTAAGTGAATAATATGAATATATTTGAAAATTACGGAACTAAAGCAGCGATAAATTTTGCAATGATTTTCCAAAGATTATACTATATTTATACTAATTTTAAACCTTTTTATTATTGTATGAGTTGTTAAATTTATTAAAACTAGATCATTTTATTACTCCTACCTCTCATTTGGTACGCGAGAAAGATCAAAATAAAAAGGCCTTTTCTTTTAGGGGCCATTCACACGTATTTCTCATGGAATTATATGTAGGAGTATAAGATCTACAAGAATTATAATATATGTAGCTCTTATTTTTTTATATATAAAACTTAAAAGGCATGCCATTATCCTTACTAAAATTTTAAAATATTTAAAAAAAATTGAAGTATCATTCGTGGTTTAGTATGTGTTTTAAATAATTCGTGGTATATGCGAATATTTTTTGGAGCATTTTTATGGTGTACAAAATATGAAATTTTTGTGAATAATAGATACAAACATGTATTATACGAATATTTACTAACTAGGGCTTGGATGGGAAAAACATCATACGCCAGTGACGCGACGGGGCAGGCGTTTCAAAGCCAGTTTGGTAGGCAAACTGCTAGTCTCGGCTCTCGAGTAGCCATTGAGGGCGCAAACGAATCAACCAAATACTACGGAATACCCAGGCAAGGTTTGTTAAGACGACCAAGAGTAGAGTTTCGTTTCAGACAAGTGAGGAGTGAGGACCTTGGTCCGCTAATCACTCTCCCGCAAAAAGGTTAATTCCCATTCACATCCAACTTATACCAAGTTTCAAACCTCCCACTGCGCCCTCCCTCCGTTCTCCCGTGATTCTAGGCGTCTTCTAATTCACGTTTCTCGGGGCAGAATCAGTGAGACCATCGTTGTAGATGACGTTCTATGGATTAGGGTTTTTTTCTTCGTAAGCAATGGTAGGAATAATGGCGACAGTTTCCAGAGACAAAATCTCGAGTCTCATAAACTCGGTGAAGTTTGACGCTGATATTCCTTCGAAGCTGGAACACTTACGCTCGCTGAGCGACGAACTCTCGAATGCCGATTCTGTCTTGCTCTCCAAGTTTCTCTCCCCTCTTCTGGACCTCCTCTCGGACCGCTTCAGTCCCGTTCGTAAATTCACTGCTGAGTAAGAAATCTTTGTATGTGCGGATGCTTGAAAGGTGTTATGCTCGTGTTCGATTTAATGAAATTGGAGGAAATGCAGGACATTTGTCTAAAGAAACATCTGGAAGTTATTTATAACTGAAATGTTGCTCAACTTTTTTTTTTTTTTTTTCAAGTGAAGGTCTTAGACTAAGACAAATTGACCTTAGAATGTAATTCTTTTCCTTTACTCAGTCCATGCTGCCACTTTAGCATCTGCTACCAGTTTTCATTCATTTTTTGTTACGAGTTGGTCCTCTATAGGATTTTGCATGCGTGGTTCATTGGCAGAATTATGATGACATTGACATAGACGAATTAGGGGTGATATTGGTAGGTTAGGACTCGCATGATGTGATAAGCTGGATTCATATCTTGAGCCAGTGCTGGAGACTTGATTGGCCTGTAAAAGGTTTCCTGTCAAAGGAGGTTAAAGTACTAGACGAGTAATGTGTTTGTGTTGGATTCTTTCCGCTGTAGGATGATTGGCGACATTGGATTGAAGTTTGCAGAATCCATACCTGAAATGGTACCTGTATTAATACCTGTGTTGAAGGATGATACCCCAGCGGTTGCTCGACAGGCTATTAGGTGTGGTATGGAGATTTTTCGCTATGTTCTATTCAAAGTTGCGCTCCAGGTAAATTGGAATTGTATGGGCACACCATTGAGTTTAGATATTTGTCCCTTGCTTGTGGAAGACCTTGATTTAGTTAATTTTTTCGCAGTGCTATGATAGTTGGTCCTACAGTTGCTCGCATTGTCTATCTTCTACCTTGTGGAGATTTTCCTGTCCTCCCATGTCCTCTGGCTTTTATTTCATATGACTTGTTGTTCATTACCATTTTGTATGTGCTGTTCGGTTCAGTGATAGACTCCAAACACTATGATGCATGGCTTTGATGTTTTATACTTCCGCTTTTGAAACCAATAGTCTACTGCTTGGATGGGATAAGTTTATTGCCTATATTTTGCAGATCTTAATTTTGTTTCCTCAGGATATAGGCATGCATATAAGAAGATATTAAAATGAAACAAAAAAAAAAGAAAAGAAGGTAAGTTTGTGTAAGCATTGTCATTGATTTTATTATTCTCTATATTTTATTTTGTCGTACCCGTAATTTTTTGTCTGCTGAGCTCGTTTTAATCACTTATTTGCTGAAAGAAGTCTTCCTCTTGCTGAATCTTCTGTTCTTGAGTAAAATTGTACGTATTGCATATTCTTTTGTGTACTTTGCAGGGAATGTATTCAAACGAGTTGGATACTTCTCTGGAATCATCTTGGTCATGGATGCTAAAGTTTCGCGATGAGATATGCTCGTTGGCATTTAAGGTAAATGAGACTCTAGAAACATGGGATGCACCTATCTAGCCTCTGTGCACTGTTTAACTTGTTCCTATAAAATCTTTAGCCAGGAAGTGATGGGAGAAGGTTGCTTGCACTGAAGTTTATGGAAACAGTTGTTCTACTCTATACACCTGATCCTAATGGCTCCTCAGATCCACCTGCTGATCTAGATTCAGAAGGTACTTTAGATATGCATCTTTTCGGTATGCATTTGCTCCTTAGCCTATCCCTGAAGGCATTTCTTAAGTTACTAAATATGTATTTCTTCTGAAACCTTCTCACCTTCTGCAGCCAGTGTTAAAGAATTTAACATATCATGGCTTCGAGGGGGTCATCCTATACTAAATATTGGAGATTTGTCAATTGAAGCAAGTCAGAGTTTGGGTCTGCTGCTCGATCAGTTGAGATTTCCAACAGTAAAGTCACTGAACAACTTGATTATCATTATGCTTATCAACAGGTAGTTCTTATATCTTACTTTGCTTCAGTTTTGTAATTTTAAATTTCTGTAACTTTTTTTCCTCTTTCACTTCATATTCGTCTCTCAATGTGTGTGCGTGCATGCATGCATCTTTGTTTGTCTGGCTGTCTCTCACTTTTCATTTCTTCTCTTTAACTGCTGTTTCGTTTTGTCATTTTCCAACAGTCTCTCTGCAATTGCAAGTAAAAGGCCTGCATTTTATGGACGTATTCTGCCAGTTTTACTTGGTTTGGACCCTTCAAGCTCCAGTGGCAAAGGGGTGCATCATGCTTTGAAGAGTGCCTTCCTCTCTTGCTTGAATTGTACTCATCCGGGTGCTGTCCCGGTATTTAATTTCAATTTTTATTTTTGAAATGAGCATTCTTGAGTCTCTTGATTGGGATCATTTTTTTTAGTTATGACTTTTTCAGATGTAAATACATTCATGAGTCTTATTCTTCTACTTTTATCGTGTCTCAGTGTTGTCCTGTTTTGTTAATTTTACTGATTTCATGTTCATACCGATTCACTGATTACTTAGCCGTACAATATTGGGTAATAGGCAGTACAGTGAAATGTATAGCGTGAAACCTGCTGCATGTACTCTCTCTCCCTATATATATGTATCATTCTCTCTCCTCAGCCATCAATACTGAAATGGTTCAGTGCTCAAGACTGAAATTCTCTTGACTTTTCTCTTCCTGTTCATTTGGATTAGGATGTCTTCTCAAGTAGTTTTTCAGGTGAATTTGTTTACAGACTTGTGGCTTTGATTTTGAGCATCACTAACTTTAATTGGCTCTTTGACTTTTCAGTGGCGTGATCGCTTAATTGATACTCTGAGAGAATTAAAAGCTGTAGGAGTGGCAGAACATGCTGCTATAGAACTAGCTTCACAAAATAGTGGAAGTTTAGAGAGGAAAAATGATTCTTTAATAACCCAGGTATGTGTTTTGTTGGCTGTAGCCGTGTTTGACTATAGTTAATAACATCTTTATGTTTCTGCATATGTATATTAGTACATAAAAGTAGACTTAAAATCAATCTTTATGGACTGCATTCTTTCTTTCCTTTTTTCAACACTTATTTCTAGGATCAAATTTTTATAGGATCGAAAACCTACAAGCAAGGCCCTTGATGATATATGCAATGACGCCAGCAGGAAAAGAACAGGAATGGAAGAAAGTACTGATCTACTTGAGGATAAAATGTCTGTAAAACGCATGAAATCTGTGCCTGTCACCTCTGATGGATCAACAAATGATTTAAGTTCTGACCAGGGCAGAGTTCCTTCTGGTGGATCTGGGGCTTGTAAAATGGAAGAAGACAGTGGCCCTGTCCAACAACTTGTTGGTATGTTTGGTGCATTGGTTGCTCAAGGAGAAAAAGCTATTGCATCATTAGAGATTCTCATCTCTAGTATATCAGCTGACTTGCTTGCTGAAGTTGTAATTGCTAACATGCGAAATTTTCCTTCAAATCGCCCTCAAATTGAAGGAGATAATGAGCAGTTGTTTGGCAGAGGGTCTTGTCCTGGCATGTCAGGAAGCAATTCTGAGTTTGATAATTTAACATTGCTTCTCACCAACATTCTTTCACAATCTAGTGCTGTCCCACAGAAAGATAGTGGGATGGATTCTCTACCTTCTGCAGCAAATGAGCTTGAGGTGCTTCTGAATCCTCAGTCTGTTTTTCTCTTTTCTTTTTTTGGTATCATTCAATCTGCAACCCTACTTCTCTTATGATGGCCATTTGACTCTGTCTAGAATCTGTTTTTTAACCATCAGTTCTTTATAATTTCTCCACAAACTGCTTTTGTGTTGATTCTGATTGGGCATCATTATTTAAGATCAATATCCCCTTAACTGCAGCTAAGAGGGACCTCGGGTAATACTGATGTCCCTGGTATGAGCTATGTGATGGAAGAGGCTTCAGTGCCTACAACTACTCCAGCTTCTTCAGGTGGACATGTCCCATGTGACACAGAGAATGGTGGTTCAGGGACGCCCTCTGATGTTATTGATGTTGGGAATGAAGAGAGTGAGATACCTGGTCTAGATTTACCAGTTCCCAAGGATGAATTAGTTATTACTTCTTTGGGTTCAACTGAATTGAAGGATGCAAGTCAAGAACAAGTTAGTAGTCTAGCTAGGTCATCACTAGAATTACTTCCTTCAGTGTCAACTGATAGGTCTGAGGAACTTAGCCCTAGAGCTACAGTCACAGACCTAAGCTGTGTCAACTCCTTAAGTGCAACTTCTTCTGGGTTATCGACACAGTTGCTTTTGCCCAAGATTTCTGCCCCGGTTATAAGTCTTAGTGATGACCAGCTAGATAACTTACAGAAGCCGATTCTCTTGCGCATAACTGATACTTACAAGCAAATAGCTACCGCTGGAGGTTCTCAAGTCTGCCTTTCTGTACTTGCTTATTTAGGAGTTAAGGTACTGTGCCTAAGATTTCTTTGTCTGATATATGTTCTTATAATGGTTGTAGTAAGAAGTGCTAGATGTTGTTCTTGAAAACAAAAGGTGCTCAAGATTGTTTCATGTGCTTCTTGATGCAGTTTCCATTGGATTTAGAGCCATGGAAGTTACTACAAACACATATACTGTCTGACTATGTAAATCATGAGGTAATCATACCTTTTGTTGATATATTCGGTTTGTATGTGTCTGGAGACAGATTGGTTCTTGAAATGTTGCACTCTTTTCATTATGCTGTCCTCACTTCGAAAAGCAGATGGCTTGAAGCCATACAGCATATGATTTTTGTTTTTAGGCTGTTATTCCATTGGCACTTTATAACTAGTGATTCTTGCTTGCAAGTTTCTCCAATCTTTACATCAATCACCTTTCCACTTCCTATTCTATGGGCATTAATGATGCAACATGATTTAAATGCATTGCAAAT